CTCACTGATATGAGGAATTCTTAATCTCAGGAAACAAACCGAGGGTTGCTGGAGTGGTGGGGGCTGGGAGGGCTGGGGTGGCTAGGTGATAGACATTGGGGAAGGTATGTGCTGTGGTGAGAGCTGTGAATTGTGTAAGACTGTTGAATACAGACCTGCACCTCTGAAACAAATAATACAGTATATGTTAAGAAAAAAAGAAGAAAAAGGAGGAAGGGGAAGAAATGAAGGGGGGGAATCGGAGGGGGAGATGAACCATGAGAGACTATGGACTCTGAGAAACAAACTGAGGGTTCTAGAGGGGCGGGGGGTGGGGGGATGGGTTGGCCTGGTGATGGGTATTAAAGAGAGCATGTATTGAATGGAGCACTGGGTGTTTTATGCAAACATTCATGGAACACTACATCAAAAACTAATGATGCAATGTATGGTGGTTAACATAACATAAAAAAAAAGTAACAAGAAAGTTAAAAAAAAAACTTTGCAGATCAATCAAAAAAATAAATAAAATAAGGTAACACCATCATGCTCTGAGAAATTCTAAACTGGGGGATTGTTAAAGTACCTTCAAGTGCTAAGATTTTAACTTATTTTTAGCTTGTATATATGTTGCAAATGGTCATCTGTAAAGCTATCCATTCTCAGGTTTAATACAATAATAAGGAATGAGTGAAATAAAACACTATGGTACAGACCCAAGACAATGGATAATTGATATAATAATGATTATGTGAAGAGGCTAAGCAGCTTATCTTTCAAATGGATTGATATGAAATTTAAAGATGCATACATTTTATCATAAAGTCACTTAAGAAAACAAAGTATTTGTTACTTAACCTAGACTGAGTAAATTAGACAGTATTCTTTTCAATTGCTAAAAGAAAAAAAAATCCCTAACAATGTATACATTGGATTTTGACTTACTTAAAAAATCAGCTGGGGCTGCAAAAGTAAAACTGTGTCTAGATCAGTATCACAGGGTGCCACATTTACATAAAAGAGGCTGCTAAGAAGAGGAGCACCTCCCCTTCTTGAGCTGAATAAATAGTTACTGATAAAAAAATCTCTTTTATCAAGATCCAGGAACTGTGATAGCAAAGCACATATGGGCTAAAATAGTTTAATAGAAAAAGAACTTTTTTTAAAATTTTAGGCAATATCTTTCACAGTCTTCTTTTAGTAAAACTTTTCTTCCTCAAATTTTCAAGGACCATTATAGATATCACTAAATTGTGTTAGAAAAATGTGAAGTATGTAACTACCTAAATGTTCTTTTTGCATGTCTAATTTTTGTCCCTTGCTTCACATAAAAGATAAAAAGGCCTATAAAGTATATTTCCATATTGATCTAGTTCTTAATTTTAGTTATAAAGAATGTTGAGTAGTCAACTTAGGTGGGAAAAACCCATTTGAAACCAATACCTGCACCCTATGCAGGTACCCTATATACAATTAAACCAAAGAATAGTGCAAAAAAGAAGAAAGATGTGTGGATAAATTTTCACTTTATAATTGCTCATTGGTGTCCTGTAGTTTTTATAGGCAAACATGTGGATTAGAATTTCATTCTGCTATTGATACCATTTCGATTTTCAAGCCAAACAATAAATTCTTCCCATGTTAAATACCAACAGAGACTGAAATATAACTTCACTCTATATTAGAAGCCCACAAATCCTTTCTCATATTTAAATGATTGAAATGAATTAGTATCTAAGGATATTTATAAAAGAAAAATATCAATTCCTACCTCCATTATCTTTTAGATGTAGTGCTATCTTCGTATCATCTGGAAGAGAAATTCAAAGTTATTGTAACAAAAAAAAAATTTGATGGTGCATAAAACTGATGACCAGTAATGGTCTACTAATGCCTTAATTATAACATGAATAGATTTCAAAATCTTACTCAGTTAATTTTAGTGCAACGAGAGCAAAGTGCTAGTTTACATAGGTAGTACTAAAATTTCTTACTAAGTTTGCAAGATCAACACTTTAGTAAAGTATTATAAGATTCTTAAGATCTTGAGAAAAGTACAGTTATAATTTTAACTTAAAATGAACTTATTTTTAATTTTTGAAAATAACTTATTGCAATTAGACTCTATAGTGATGGCCTTCATTATTCATTTTAAAAAATCAAGATCAGGAAATTCTAAATTAATTGGACAAGTAAAGATCTGTCAATATTTAGGAATTTAACTTCAAAAGTTAAATGCCTATCCATTGCTAATAAATATGACCAAAATCATAAATGAAAAGATCTTGCCCATAATGAATAAAATAAACAAATGAACATGCCTTTTTTTTCTTACTTCAGTGGTTATATTTTATTCTAAAGAGTAGGATTCAAACTGAAGTAATATTTTCATGGGGTGGGATTCAAACTACAGAAATATTCCATAGGCTATATAACAACACAAAATAATATGGATTAAAATACAACATTGGTTTTAAAAGTAATAAAATGTATTTAACAGCCATCCCCATCTCATTTTATAACTTTACAGTTAACTTTTTCTAAAGGATATATTTATTTATTTTAGAGAGAGAGAGCATGAGTGGGGGGAGGGGCAGAGGGAGAGAGAAAGAGAATCTCCAGCAGACTCCACACTGAGTGTGGAGCCTGACTTGGGGCTTGATCCTATGACCCTGAGATCATGACCTGAGCTGAAATCAAGAGTTGGACGCTCAACCGACTGAGCCACCCAGGAGCCCCTCAAGTTAATTTTTAATGTCCAATTAAATTTCAATTAAAAACAAAAGTTTCAAGTTTAATTTATTATTCAAATGAAAGCAAGGTTGATGACCATAAATAAGTATGACCATTTTTTCCCCCCAAAGCTCACTCTTGGCCAACTAGTCTCACATTTCTCCCTAGTGGTACCATTCAGAATATATGGTTATATTTTGGCTGATATACCTTCTTCCCCCAGTGAGTTGTGCCCATGAATCAATATTCTGTAGTACTTTTGTCTTCCCTGGCAGAGGAAATGGTTTTCAAGACAATTTCTGTGACACACAGTGCCCCTCTATAGATTATAGACCAACATATCTTATTGTCGCATATAAGTAGAATTATCTATTTTCTCTATATGCATTTTGCCTTTCTCTCCTGTGACTGAAATGTTGAATTCAGTTACAACAAAATTTAGCAATATAAAAGGAAGTCTATATTTCTTTTTTAGGGAGGACAAATAGCCAGAATCATTAGTAAAAGCTAAATCTTAATAAAAGACATGGTACATTAAAAGAATCCCAACACATATTTTTATTCCATAATAATTTTGTCTTTTCCCCTTTAGAAATCCTTTAGAAATCCAGTTTGTCAAAGGACAACTTTCCCTCTGCAGAGCTACTCCAGTTCATGTCAACACAGTGACTTTCCTTTCTTTCAGAGAAAAAGCAAGAATATCTAGAGTACCTTCTGTGGGCAGGCTGGTGGGCACCTGGGATGTCACTGCTCTTCTGGTGGTCGTTAGGACCCTGAATTTTGTGGTTGTTGCTTGTACAGTTGTGGTGGTTTGAGAAGAACTTTCCATTGGCTCTGTGTTCTCACACATCTTCTCTTTGGACTAATAAGAGAAACAAATGGGTAAACAATTTAAGAGCGATTGTACATGCATTTTAAAAAATCACATCAAAGAAGAGGAATCTGTTATTTTTGTATAGGACAATACTTGTGGGTTATAAGAATTTACAAAGTATACAAAATAGATGCAGCAAAGCATTTCCACCTTCAGATATTCGGATTTCATCATTTCTGCAGTTAACCTTTCATATTACTCTTTATCTTGCCCTAAATTTTATATCGATTTATTTATAAGAGATATGATGTCAAGAGGGAGAAGTTCATACAAGAAGAAAAACGTGTGCAAAAAGGTAAGATTTAAAACATGGTTAGGTATGTGGAGAAAGAATGCATTTCAAACCGATTATGCTAAATGCTCCATATTACTTTATTGTTTCAAAAATAATCCACCACAGTTTGAGAGAATATTTAAAATTTTTGTTTTCTTTTATGAAATATTCAAAGCCACCCAAGCAAAAGATTGAATGACCCTCCTGTAATCACTTAGCCTATTTCTCCCTAGCAGAGCTAGACTGAAGACACCAGGAAAAGACGCATATTTTATTTTTTATTTATAGCCCACAAAGTTAAATCCTATGACCTTCACCAGCAACAATCTCCAACACCCAAACTTTTATGGTTTAGAAGCTGGTGTTTATCTCCACCTCTTTGTTCTTCAAAGGCCTCCATCCCTCTGGTAGGTCTTAAGTAGAGGATAGCTAGTCTGTACCTGGGTGGTACTCATCCTGCTTTTGAAAATTATTATTAAATAAATTCCTTTCTGAAACTTCTCTTGTCATGAATGAAGTACAATGCACTTATTACTAGTTCAGCAAGAGCTCCTCAGATGGCTTCCTTTTTCACTAATGGAATATGATACAGGTTTCTTCCCCACTTCAACTCCCAATATCCTAGGGGACAAAGAAAACATCCCACATTTTCTCAGCCCAGTGGCCTAACCTAATGATCTCCTTGCTGACTCCACGTCAGTTATCACCCCCCGCAGCCTGGACCTCACAGGCAGTTGGAGATACTTTTCAGTCAGATTCTGCTTCTCCTTTGATGAAGCAGAAAGCCCAAGTACAGTATTTTTCTCCCTTCAATCCCCCTTTTCCCCATCACTTCAACCTCTCTTTCCAATTCCTTCAAATATCAAAACAAATATGTTTTGTTTTTCCACCTTTTCAGGAAATCCCCAGTACCACATGAAGTGAAAAAAAGCCCGTCTTTTCCCTGCCCTGTAACAAAGCTAGGAGAAGCTGGAGCATAATCACACAGCCCCCGACTGGGAGCTCCATACGTTTACCTCCTGCGGCCTCAGCAGGCCTTCCGTGCTGCTTGGCAACACTGCCTGGCTTTGCTGGTCTCCCCTCCCACCATCCTCCATATCAATTTCAAACCTCTCCACTCCACTGAAATCTATAATCCCATAATGCCTCTCCCAATCTTACCCCATGGGCTCACCTTTTATTTCCTTGATAAGAGTCATCAGCAAGAATTCTCTACATTTCTTTACAAATCAGCATTCTTGCTTGAATCTGTACAGACTTATCCCTCTTTATTTCTGTAATCACGGATGGGCCTCAGTATTTATAGCTATTCTCTCAACCTCTACTCTGGCCCAACTCAGCCCACTTTTTCAGGTATCGTAAACTTGCTCATTTAATACATCCCTTCTCTTCAAAATGTTTTCAATCTCAGGTTTTCTACTGCCTTGTTCCCCATTAGCACTTAAACACACTCAATCATGTCCATGTCCTTCTTTTCCACAATGAATCCTGACATTCCCCTACTTTTCCTTCCATTCAGTCAGAGATTGGTCTGCCTTGGTCTTCACAGACTCCCACTTTCCCCACGTATGGAAATCTTGTTGTTATCCATTACAAATTAATCGAAATTTCTTATGCTGGTGGTTCTAATATTTTCTTATGCACGAAATTGTCTATATTCTCCATATCTCACAGCATGGGGCAGAGCTGTCCACTTTCTAGTTTTGGGTTCTGTGACACACTCTCTCAATTTTGTGATAGCTTTCTACAACCTCTTTATTTCCTGTTATGTGTTGGTAGTTCTTATAGATCTTTCTTGACTAATCTTTTTGCTATATGCATTCTCACTAGCAATTTCCACCACAGCCATGATTTCAATTCACATCTTCATGTCAATTTACATAAATCGATAGCAACAATACACATCTCTCTCATGGATTTCTGACTCAAATATCCATCTATTGACTTAACTTATGCATGTGGGTGTCACAGATATCTCAAACGCAGTAAGTCTCAAATGGAACTCATCACATATTATTCTCCTGTGTTGCTACTGTCAAAGACCAGTAGTAGCAAACACCTTAATGCTTAACCTAACATCCTGGATTTGTTTAGCTTATAGCAGTAAAGGCAGATTAAAGACTCTAAATGGGCCTCCTTCTGCAAAACAAGTAGATTCTGGATAAAATATGAATTTTAATTTTTTTTAAAGATTTTATTTATTTATTTGAGAGAGAGAGAGCACAAGAGGGGTTAGGGTCAAAGGGAGAAGCAGACTCCCTGCCGAGCAGGGAGCCCGATGTGGGACTCAATCCTGGGACTCCAGGATCATGACCTGAGCTGAAGGCAGTCGCTTAACCAACTGAGCCACCCAGGCACCCAAAATATGAATTTTAAAGCATTACTAGAATTTGCAGGAAGCAAAGAAAATCTCCAAGGGTACCTTTCTATTGTCTCTCCCCCAAAACAAAACAAAGCAAAAGCTGTGTGCTGTGGAGTAGGAGTCATATACATTAAGCCAGGTAAAAATGCAGGATTTGCCCAGAGGGCAAGGAATGTTAAAAATCAATATTTCTTCAAGGAGATCAAGCCTTGTGCCAGCAAGTAGATGGGGAGATAAATCTAAACCTCTCCTCTCCATGTGAAATAGGGACATAGGGTATACCCTAAAATTCTCAGGTTTTCATCATCAAACATTCTGTGGTGGAAAGTACCATCTACTTAGGTCCTTGGGATTCCCATGGAATAGGATCAAATAAAAATGCAATTCTAATTAAAGGACACAAAAAGAAACACAAAAAGAAAAAGAACACTGACAAAGTCAGCAAAAACAATGAACAACATATTTAAACTACCAAAATCTTTAGATATTGTGATCGTCCAATGTAAGATACACAAAAAATTATATACGAAATATTTAAAGAAATGAAAGGTGAAATTTAAAAATGAACTAGTAACCCTGACTACAAAAATGTCTTGGCAGATTTAATAAAGTGTAAAATTTAAATTTTAGAAATGAAAAATACACTTTTTGAAATTACTACTTCAATGGATATGTTAAATAGTGGATTAAATGAGATGAAGACAGAATTAATAAGCTGGCAAATTGATCTGAAGAAACTCCCCCAGGATGAAACACAGAGAAATAAGAAGATAGATGACATAAAAGAGGACTTTCACAGTGCTCATTTCCATTCAGCTGCCTACCTACTGATCCTTCCTGCCCCCCCCACCCCCCGCTCTGTGGTCACCACTACCCTACCCACTGATGCAGGCCAGATCATCAGCATCATTGGCCTGGGTTATAACTATAGTCAACTTCTTGGCTTCTTGCCTCATAACCTATTATTCACCCATAGCCAAGGTGATTCTTCCAAAAGGCCCTGATTAAAAGCCTTTCCCTTGCCTTTATTTCTTTTTAAATTAAGGTATAATATATACACATAGCAGTATATTAGTTTCAGGTGTACGACATAATGATTTGATATTTTTTATACATTGCAAAATGATCTCCACAATAAGTCTACTTTACATCTGTCACCATACATAATTGCAAAAAGTTTTTTTGTTGTTGTGATGAGAATTTTTAAGATTTACACTCAGCATTTTTCAAATATGCAACACAGTATAATTAACTACCATCACTATGCTGTATGTTACATTCTCAGGACTTATTTATTTTATAACTGGGAGTTTGTCCCTTTTGAGCTCCTTCTGCAATCTCACCCACCCTAACCACCCATCTGTTCTCTATCCATGAATTTGGGTTTTGGTTTTGGTTTTGGTTTTAGATTCCACATATAAGTGAGATCATACAGTTTTTGTCTTTTCTGTCTGACTTTTAGCATAATGCCCTCAAGACCCATCCATATTGTGACAAATGGCAAGATTTCCTTCTTTTTATGGCTAAATAATGTTCCAGTGTGTGTGTGTGTGTGTGTGTGTGTGTGTGTGTACATTCATACATATACACCACATTTTCTTTATCCATTCATCCATCAGTGGACACTTAGGTTATTTCCATATCTTGACTATTGTGAATAATGCTGCAACGAACATGGGGGTACTGTTATCTCTTTGAGTGAGTGTTTCATTTTCTTTGGCGAAATACTCGGAAGTGGAACTGCTGGATCATATGGTAGTTCAATTTTTAATTTTTCGAGGAAACTCCATTCTTCCCTTGTCTTTAGGATGAAGCCCAAACTCCTTCAACTTGTTACGTTTGGGGCTCTGTTCACCTCATCAATCTCAGTTCTTACCACTTGTCTTCTTAGCTCCAGTTGCCCTTCAGGCATCATCTCAAATATCTCCTCCTCAAGCAAACCTTCCCTTATGCTACTTAACAAGACCACATCCTTATCGTTACTCTCTGCCCATGTCCTTCTCTAAATGCAGTCCTTTGTTCAGTGGTCTAGCTTCCTGCTGGACACACTTACTCCATTTTTACATTATCCATACTTAGAATAATACATAGTAAGTGTCCATATTAGGATTTGCACTTATGGAGTAAATTCATCTCACAGGATTAGAAAGAAAATTTAACTCTAGTTTTAGGCACAGAGGATGGGCAGGAGTTGGTGACTTTATTTTAATAGAAGGATAAAATTGCTCACCACAAAGCCACTAATATTGACAATTTAATTACAAAATTAAAAGGAAACACTGAATACTGAAGATACTTGACTCTGAGCTCCTTGGGAATAGGGGGTAATTTTTATTTTTTTTACATTTTTGTAATTTCAGTGCTTGACACATTCCACAGAACATGATAAACTCTCCACAGATAAATTTAGGAGGGTTTAAAATACGATGGCTTCTTCTCTATTTCCTTGGTTCATGGTGGGCAAGAAAATTAAGATGACCGAATTACACTCTTGATCTTTACACAACTACAGCTGTTCAATTTCAACATTTCCATTGAAGTAAATGTGATTACATGAAAGAAACATCAACCTGAAAACACAACAATGGCTCCAGCAATATGTTTTAATTTTGAACGATGTTGTTCTGTAAGTGAAGTGAAATAGATCAGCGTATATCACTATTAGTGTATATCACAATAATCCCCCAAATGTCAAAAAGTTGATTAAAGCTGCACTGGCAATTCTGCACTTAAAATTCAAGTATATTCTCAAAGATGTTTTTCTCAAGATATTTATAGGACATCATAAATAAAAACTTAATTTTTAAAACAGTTCTAATAACCATTGGTCTCCCAGTAGTTTTAAAGAGAGCACTTTGACATGATTTGCTTTTCCTGAATGAGAAAACTTGTATAATTGTTAATAGTTTTCATTTAAAATTCATACCCTAAAACTTAACACAGGCAGAAAAAAAGCAAATACTTTTCTTTGTGAACTTAATAAGATATCTTTATGGAACCTGAAATGACAGTATAAATGCAATTCACTAGAAAATTTTAAACAGGATAAAATTGTCCTGCAATTGCATACACCTGCTTAAATCACTTCATTGCATGATTGTCTCCATCATGTTTGTCTTGGGGTTACTGTTTCCATGTTATACCATTTCTAACTGATTTTACATCAGTTTGCTGCAATTAGTCTTTTCCTCCATACCGTTGGTTTTGTTACTTGAGCAAAAAAGATGAACAATGGCTTCCGAGATCTTAGAAAAGCAGCAGGTGTTTAAGAGAACTGCCTTTTGCTTGTAAAATTTGACTTCTGGTTCTATTTCCTAGCCACACACCTAACTCTGCTACCCTCACTGCCCCCCTCCCCACCATCTCCCCTCGCCTCTCCCTCTTCTCCCCTTGGTAATGTGGGGGCAATAACAGCTCTGAAGTCCAAGGAAGGCTATGAGAATAAATTTAGATAATACAAGTAAAGAGTTAAGCCCAATGTGTGGCACATACTAAGGGCTCGATAATTGCTGGATATTTTTGTTAAATTAGATGCCATTTTCATTAAGATGTAGTGACTCTATAGGACAGCTTGGTCCCAGAAGTCTTGTCATGAGAAAGCACATGTACCTCTTCAGGGCATCCACTGTCCACCCAGTCCTGCCGATGGCGATCAAATCCACTGGAACATCTTCAGAGAGGACACATTGCAGTTCAGAAAAGAAAGTAATGGGGTGCAGAGTTGGGGGTGGGGAGAAATGAAAAGAAAAAGACTGGTAAGAAGTTAATTCTCAAATTTTCAGTTTAGCACAACATAAACTTTCTTTTATAGAATTGTTAATTGGGGCAGCAGTGAAATATTTACAGTGTGGTGAGTAACAGCTCACTCCTTAGGTAGGCACGGTGTTAAGATCACTCATGGCAACAAATTACTCCACTGATGCCCACTACATGGTGCAGAACACCTGGGTCCCCAAGCAAAGGTAAGGCCAATTGTTTTTCTGTGAAGTTGGTTTTCTTTTTACTCATACATTTTTTTCTCATCATCAAAACAAATGGGTATAGACAAATTGTTTGCAGGTATCATTTTTTTTTTTAGGATTTCAGATCTCTTTATTTGTTTTCCTTATTTTTAAAAAAAATTTAAGACCCATGGCACTCAAACTCTCTATTGTGCAGTAAAGGGTTAACTCAGCAGGTTTGGGGTGTTCAAACCCTCACATTCCAAAGAAAGAGCTGACCCTTTTCTGGTTCCCAGGAGATAACCTCCAAGCCCTTGGAAATATCTCACCTGATAAGAGTGGCTTTGTATATCTTGGATGTAGGGCTATGCAAGATAGTTTATGCTAACAATATGCATTATGCTGAATGGCTGTTTTTATTCACCTGGATACTAGGGCCATGCTATAACAGTTTGACCTCTTGGAGGGGCTAGGGACTAGAGATGAGAATAGTCATAAATAAATTCATATCTATCTCTCTGACCCTCAATAAAAACTCTGGACACCAAAGCATGGGTAGGCTTCCTTGGTTGGCAACACTTGGTGTGTGTTTTCTCAAATTGCTGTTGGGGGACTTAAGTGCTATCTATACAACTCTACTGGGAGAAGACAACTGGAAGCTTGTGCCTGGTCTCTTGTGGACTCTACCCTATGTATTTTTCACCTTCACTGATTTTAATCTGTATCCTTTTTGCTATAACAAATGGCAACCTTGAGTATAACAGCTTTTGGGAGTTCTGGAAGTCCTTCTAGCTAATTAGTGAACCCGAATGCGTGCTTGTGAACCCCTAACATCAGTATGCCTAGGTCATCTCTAAATGCTCTAAATCAGCAAACACTGGCTTAATAAGATATTGTTCAGTCCTACCGTCTTCCTTGATTGGAATAATTTTCTGTCCTCCTTATCTAACCAGCTATAGTCCATTTATATTTTTAAGACCCAGAAATTACTACCTGGAGTCCATTCTTTTTTTTTTTTTTTTAAAGATTTTATTTATTTATTTGACAGAGAGATACAGTGAGAGCAGGAACACTAGCAGGGGGAGTGGGAGAGGGAGAAGCAGGCTTCCCGCGGAGCAGGGAGCCCGATGTGGGACTCAATCCCAGGACCCTGGGATCATGACCTGAGCCTAAGGCAGACGCTTAACGACTGAGCCACCCAGGCGCCCTACCTGGAGTCCATTCTATCTGATAAAGCTTCATAATTGCTCTGATCACATCTTATTTTACTATTTAACTTTTCCCTTCATATAAAACTTCATCTGCATATGTCTTATTTACCAAACTTGATTGTGAACATTTAAAAAAAATTTTTTTTAAGATTTTATTTATTTGAGAGAGAGAGAGAGCACGAGCAGGGGGGAGAAGCAGAGGGACAGGGCGAAGCAGGCTCCCCGCTGAGCAGGGAGCCCCACGCAGGGCTCCATCCCAGGACCCTGGGATCATGACCCAAGCCGAAGGTAGACGCTCAACCGACTGAGCCACCCAGATGCCCCAATTGTGAACATTTTAAAGTTAGGACTGGTATCATATAAAGTCATACCTAGTATATCTAACACATAATTTGTTTTTCATACTAGAAATTCAAAATATTTTCCTAGTTTGTTAAAACTAAGGATTTACATAACCCCTGAATTTTAATAGCTAAGTGTATATTTACATATAATATATGAATCCATATTGATGAATATTAATATAGATACCTATATATTTTTCAAAATTAATGGAGGTCATTCAACTTTTGTCTTATATTTTCTTATAGTAGTACTTTGCAACTTTTTTTTTACTTGTTTTGCAATGAGTCTACATGATGACTTTTTCTAAGAATCCTTGCCAGAGATTATGTACCATGGCATGGATGAGCATAATTTAATTCAAGTGGAATGTGAAAACATCTCTACTGTCAACAAAGAAGACCGTATCTATCATTTTGCCCAAACATGATCCATTAGAGCTCTGCTATTTTATGCCTACCATCTGTGTTGAATAAACTTAAGTGTAGAATAAACATCAGTGTGTGATCTGGCATCCCAAGTTTGAGAATCCCCAGTTGGTCAAGGCCATTTCTGGTTACCCAAATAGATTCTGACATTTGGAGCCTGTTTAATTCCAGATGAGGTAGACGGCTGTTCCCTCCTCTCCTTTTGTCCTTTCAAGTTTGTTTAAATATTGAAAAATGTATTGACATTCCCTTTTGCAATTGATTTTCTAAAAAAAATATATTTTGGGAGTCACCTAATCACAAGTCATTTTGAGAGCTACAAGTAAATAAACGGAACAGATAATTTTTAAAATGCAGTTTGTCTTCATTTACTCTATTCCAGATGTATTCAAAGACAATGAGAATTAATAACTTTTATATTTTAACGAGACAGTACCATATCTTAAATTTACGGGTCAGCCAAAATTTCATCTTAGCCCTTTAAATTGTTAAATTAATCCTAGGAAAAGTAGAGAAACAGTGTATTTTGCTTGATTTATTAAATAAGCTCCCAGTTATACTGTGTGAAATTAGGTTCCACTGAAAATAGGTGATTCGATTAAGTAAGTCATTCATTTATTCACAATTGATTCCCTATAAGCTGATCTGCAGTTTCCTAATTGCTAGGGTATGAAGGATTGAGAATGGCAAAACATGAGAACATTTGATTTGAAAACTCATGCATTTTTGTAACGTACAGTGCCTTAGAAAATTAACACAACTGGATGCTGAATTTTTAGTCTTCTTTCTAACTTAGTAATCTCTATTGCGTCTGAAAGCAATTATAAACAAAAGGGTGTGTGTTTGTGTGTGTTACAAGTCCCTAAGAAAAAATTATATTATCTCTGAATTCTAAAAAAACCCCAAATATCCCCTTTACGAACACTTCCCTCTCTCCACTGAGTTGCTGCATTATTTTTTCTAAGACCCAATGATATTAGCCATATCATGCTCCAGCATATTGATTTCCTGACATTCTTAACACTGTTAGCTAAGAGGCTCTCTCCTACACTGGAGTCACCTAGTATTCCTGTTGAAAGCGAATTCATGAATGTAGCTGAATAAGATTCTCTGGCAGTTTGGGTCCAGCAATTTTCACTGTAAACGAGATTTTCATTTTAGAGACAGCATTTTGGAAAATATTTAGGAATTAATTCTGTGTACCATATTAATGTGAAATGTGTTCTATACTTAAAGTCCTTTATCATCACATTTGGGAATTAGTATTACAGAATCTTAGGAGAGAAAAATCTAAGTTGCTTTCAAATGTGGGTCAAATCTTTATGCAATATTTATAAACACACAGAGATTACGTGGTTTTGTAAATATTCCTAAAAAAATTGATTTCAATGAAGTCTGAACTCTTAGCCACGATAGGTTTCCATTTGTTTTTTATTTTCATGTTATTCCCTTTGTCTCAGCATTACCTAATTCCAAAACAAATTGATAGAGAGCTGTTCTTCAAATTAATTGTACTATTCTCCACTCAGTTTCAATGGTGTGTTGATTTCAAAGCCCCCAGGAGCCATGTTAAGTGAACCCCATTCAATAAGGCAGCCTATACAATACTCTCCTGGCTTGCAGCATCTCTCCAATCCAGAGATTAAAGTGTAAATTTTGTCTCTCTCTAACTTATCTCAGTTCTATAGGAAGGGTTTCAGAAATACGACTTATTTTGCAAAGGTAATATATTCACGTGAAGGAAGTAGAATAAGTGTTAAAATGCATACATGAGGGTTAAACATAAAGTGCATCTCTGACTGCACAATTAAACACATGTCGTTTCACCATTGAGATGAAATATCTGCAAAAGAGAATTTAGGAAAGAAACCTCACAGAATCTTAAGACTTGGTTAGGAATTAGTTTCTAGATCAGGAGTCAGCAAATGTTTTCTGAAAAAGGACCAGACAGTAAATATTTTAGGCTTTGCAGGCTATATAGTTTCTGTTCTACTTACCTCTGCCACTACTCAAAAGCAGCCACAAATTCCTAAGAAATGGGTGTGGTTGTATTCCAATAAAACTTTATTTACAAAAACAGGAAGTGGGTCAAATTTGGCCCACTTCCTGTAGTCTGCTGGCCTCTGTTCTAGTTTATTATATAAAAAGTAAAGATCTGTAAATTTCTGAAGACTAGGGCAAATACCTCATCAAGGTGTCTCATGATTTAAATGGTCCTTGTAACCTTATGTGTATTTAACAGGGTGTGTTATCTTAATGGAAAAATCAATTGTTCATTTAGTAAATTTTCTTGTCACAGTCTGCAAAAGTATGAAAAATGATCCTGCAGCATCAAAGAAATGGAAAGATGCTTTAAAAAGAAGCAGAAGTATTTTAGATGAGAGACAAGTATAATGATATATAATGATAACCAGCTATGATTATAACTAATAACACATTTTATCATTGGGTAAAATAGGTGATAGGTAGTATGAAACTATAAGATATAAGGAAATTATTTTGTTTTGAAATACTAAAAGATGTAATTGGAAAGATGTTCATAAAATTTAAAATGTTGATTGTAATAATTATTCTCAATAAAAAATTAGTAAAACAATTCTATCTTATTTCCCATATAGGGCATTCCTGTTGTTCCTAATCGGCTTCAGGCATGAGATGGATGACTTCATTTCTAAAACCATTTCTTCTAAAACTGAGAAACCTGATCTTAAAATTTTCCAGAATTTTCGTGCCTGAACCACTCATTAC